CCCCATCCCTGGAAGTGTTCAAGGCCAGGTTTCGTGAGGCTTTGGGCAACCTGGTGTAGTGGAGGGTTTCCCTGCCCATGGCAGGAGGGTTGGAACTAGATGATCTTTAAGGTCCCTTCCAACCCAAACCACTCTGTGATTCTATGAAACCAGAGATCAAACACTTTGCCTCCCATCTTCCCTAGCTTGACATTTCAAGTATTCATAGAATCATAGAATCATAGAATGGTTAGGGCTGGAAGGGACCTTCAAAGGTCATCTAGTCCAAACCCCCCTGCAAGGAACAGGGATATCTCCAACTAGATCAGGTTGCTCAGGGCCTCGTCCAACCGGGCCTTGAACGTCTCCAGGGATGGAGCATCCACCACCTCTCTGGGCAACCTGTTCCAGTGTTCTACAACTCTCATGGTAAAAAATTTTTTCCTAATATCCAATCTGAATCTACCTCCCTCTATTTTAAAACCATTACCCCTTGTCCTATCACAACTGGCCCTCCTGAATAGCCTCTCCCCATCTCTCCTGTAGGCCCCCTGAGGTACTGGAAGACCACTATAAGGTCACCCCGGAGCCTCCTCTTCTCCAGGCTGAACAGCCCCAACTCTTTCAGCCTGTCCTCATTATTCAACTCCTGCCTCTGACAACAGACAACCGCCATAGGCTGTACACTACAAAGCCTACAGTTTGTGCTCATGAAGGTTTAGGCTCAAAGGAAATAGCGAAAGAGAAAAATCCCTTAGGATGCCAGCAGCACAGAGCGGCATCCTGGTCCAGCAGTGTTAGAAACTTTCCCTCCTCCACAACAAGTCATGAGCTTTAGCAGGGACAATGATGGGGAACAGGACAGCCCCATCCCATCCTAGTTCCCGCTGTCCAAAGCCAGCACAAGAGTCTTTCTAGGGCCAAGGGAAAAAGCTGGGAAAGCAGGAGACTTTCAGTTAACGTGGTAGTTGTTTTTCCAAGGAAACTCCTGTCACGCATAGTAAACAAGTTACTTGACTGTTATTTAACAACTAGAACAGTAACTCTATGCCCTGAATATCCTTGACCATCTTCCTGATATGCAGGTGACGTCACGCTCAGGAAAAGATAATTTATTTCAATGGTGTCAATTCATAAATGCCTGAGTCTTCATCTGCAGGTTTATTTCTAGAGTTACACATGCTTTATCTGTTTTTAAAGTGTAACAAGTCCAGGGCAAAGGTTTTGTATTTTAAAGTCATTGCTGTCTCCTATTTGTTTCCAGCTCCCTTAGGTGGTGGGGATTTTGTTCGTTGTTTTTATTTAAAATCTTGATATACAGATATGTGTGTACACGCTTGTACAAGTACATATACAGATAACCGTGTATATACTTGTACAAGTATAAATCAGCTATCTAAATCATTATCTTTCATCAGTTGCTTGGAAGTCAAAATATATCAATTTATTATAAGCATGACCTCCAAAAGCATTCGCAACCTTCTTTTGAGTGGCGCTAAGAAACACATCCTAATGCCAGATTAGAAGCGTACAGGCAATGAAAACTGATATAAGCGTGTTTATTTTAGGTCTTTAGGACACTATACATACCAAATTTCATCTGCAAGCAAGTATCTTCAGTTGGTAAGCAAGTACTATTGGTCTTGCACAAGGAAGGGCTGTTCTCGCAGTGGTAACACCTTAGGGTATAACCTAAGAAGACAGGGGTTTATCGTTACTGAATAATAAAGTACTGAAACAGCGGCAGCATTAGAAAGGAAAAAAAAAGGAAGCAGCATTATCTGCATCTAATTGTCACAAAACATATGCCTGGTTATTAAAGTCAAGACTTCAGCTAAAATATACAAGTATTTGACAGTGTACAAACTGAGACTTGTCATTTTGAAAGGAAGATTTTGAATCACACATTTACATCATTTTTAAAAACACTTACCTTTATGTCTCTGCAGAATAAAAGATAAAAGCATTTAATATGTTATCTGCTCTTAAAAGATTGCCTTTTCCAAAAAGACAGACAAGAGACACTTTTAGCAGAATTTTCTTCTATCCCTTTTTTATTTCATCTCATTTCTCTCTCATGCTATACACCTGGTTTCCTATTACACAACAGGAATCCCAATTTTCTAGCAGCAAAACACAACAGTCTGTTGCCATACTAAGCAGCATCATACCCTGCACCTGATTCTCTCTGTTGACGAAAGACAACCAGCAACAGAAACTAAGCCCTGCTTCAATGGTCACTGTCATGCCCCAAAGTGGTATTAAATAATTCAGGCCTTTTTTTTTTTCTATTTTTCCTTCTCCGACATTTTTTCCTCAGCTCCTGTCATCAGGAAAGTACCAGCATTATACTCACCAGAACTACAAAAAGCGACCAGAACAATGCAGGCGGTTACCAGGATGCAGTTCATCTTGATCATGCTTCTTCCCTAATTTGAAGGCACAAACAGATGTTACATGTCTATTCTATTTAAAAGCTACATGGAAGTAGCAAAATATAAGGTTTTGAGACTTGATTCGGTATTGAACTGAAGTCATTGGCCAGGAAAACCAGCAAAAGGGAAGAGAGAAAAGTAATTTAGCACTTTCCAAGAGAGGGTTTTTATTCTGAGAACAGGGTTTTAATTTGGAGAACTGAGATTTGAGCCCTGGACAGCCTGTAGATCACTCTCCTTTCTCCCCTCTGATTACACCATTCAAGAGGCCTCCCTATTCCTGACAGCTACAAATGCACCTGAACAAAAAGAGAGGCCATTTAGGTCTCCAATACCTTCTCTTTTACAGCAATTCCCCAATAACCCTGGAGCCAGATTGTGCTCCTTTCTTCTCTCTCATGGGGTTGCAAGAGATTTTTCTGCACTAAGGGGGCTTTTGCCTTTCCTCTCCCAAAATTTCTCCCTGTCAGTGAGGGACAGAGATGCAGCAACCCACCAAGTGACTGCAGCGATGGCTCGACTCCTCCACGATTACTGTAATCCATAGGTAGCAGTGAGATAGGAAAGTCAGGAATTTTTTTACCGTATGTGTTATTGGATAGACTTCTGCACGCAGAGTCTGAACTACAAACAATAATATCTACCACTAAAAAAATCTCTGCTATTGCAGAGAGTAGGCTATTCAGACTAAGTATCAAGGAGATACAGGGGGGAGAGAAGGAGAAAGGGACCATACTTGTGCTAGGAAGGCCTGATTTCATGTTTGTTTTCAAAGTCCAAGTGGGATTGAAAGTCCCAAAGAATTAAAGGCATCCAGATACCGAGTTTCACTTATGATAAGACTGCAGTGAAACAGTCACATTGCTGCTCTTGACCCTGTAGTTCTGCTTGAAGCTATTTCTATCTGCAGCTAAGTGCCTAGCGTGGCAGACCACAATCACATTGGGATGGAGTGCTTTCCTCCCAGAAGACTGACTGTGGGCTTGAAAAGAAAGCTTCATGGTAAAAACAATGCTGAAATTCTTCTCAAACTTAAGTCTAGTTAATTTTTATACTGGGGAGTGGGGGGTGGAGATGTGTGAGAAAACCAACAAAAAAAAAAACAGTTTTGGGGTTTTTTTACCTTTATGACCTACTGTTGAGCAGGAAAACTAAAAAAAAACCAAAACCATATTATGCAGAATGAGATGACTTTCTGGGGTAAACAACTTTATAAGAAGCCTTCCAAGATCAGAGGCTCATTCCACAGTGACATGAATCTGCAGGAGTGCCCCTAGTCTGGTGGTTAAAGCAAGAGTCTTGTTGCTGCCCAGAATGGCTCTCCCTGGGAACCTCTCCATCTTCCAGGAGCCTTCAGTCACACAACAGTGTCAGCAGAATAAAGCAGTTTTGCCTTTTAGCAAAACCGAGTCATGACCAGAATAAATATAAGGCAGATTAATAAAAATCATAGCCAGCATAATAGCTTTGACAGGAGTAATCTGATCTATTTTTTCACAATCTATTTTTGTGAAAATGAGTAATTTTTTCTGTACTTCTGAACTACAAAGAGATGAGACAACAGTAAAATGTTAGCTTAAAAAAATAAACAAACAAACAAAACATACATAGACAGCAATTCACAACATGGCTTAAAAGACACAAAAAGCAGAAAACATTTCCTGAACTGAAGTGTCTAAGTTGCTCTTTTAAATGAAGCATCCGATCAATCTCCCTAACAAGAAAGAGCAACTGCAACAGCAAGACAGGCTCATTGCCTTGGCTCTGGAATTTCTCTGCAGTCCCACCTGGGAGCGAGCACATGCCCAAGACCAGGCTGCTACTTTCATCATAACCTCAGAGCAGAAAGAGGCAAGAAAAGGGTAACTAGGACTACCAGCCCCATTCCTGTGAGGACTAAGGCGTTTTAGCAGCTGCTCAGGGTTGCACCGCTTCGTTTGCCGAGATACCTTGCAGCCAGCAACCACCCGGGCAGATGCAACCTGGCTGCCTCCCATTTTTTTTTTTAAGTTAGCTGCAGCACTCCCCAGGCAGCATCTGCACCCCCCCACACCCCTCCCCACCTTGGCTGCTGCGATCCAGC